TCCATCCCCTCCTGATGCATTCTGGCTCAAGCCTGCTGGGCACCTCCTCCTTGGCCCCCATGTCACCCCTCACCACTCTTGGGACCAAAGTGAATACATGTTCCAAGCCTGGGACAAGGGTACCCTTCTGCCCACTGAGCCCCTGGATACATGCTGGATGCATGAGGTGGGGTGGAGGTCCTTGCCTTGCATGCCCACTCTGCATGCCTGACTGCAAACTGTCGGAGTGAAACTCAATTTCTAGTTATATGGGGTGACTGAAAACTCCCATAGAAAGAAACTCATGTCAAGTAACAAGGTCCACCAAAGGCACTTGGCAGGAGAACATGTTAACCGGGTGCCTTCCCAGAGCAGTACGTGTTTAACACTTTTGAAGCCAGAAGAGAAGAGGGAATTCTCTTTTCCTGCCCAAAGAGCCTTATGTGGGACCCAAGTTGTCTGCCTTGGGGCCGTCTCTCTCCACTTGGACCTTTCAGAAGGCCCATCAACCCCATCATTCTTCGCCTGGATTTTATCTAGAGCACCTTCTTTCACTCCCTCAGGACAGGGAGAGGGGAAAAAAACCAACTGGGTAAGGTAGTAGAAACTGGTTTCCCAATTACTCTCCCAAGGGGTTATTTTTTTTTTAAGTCTCTAAAAGACAGAGTCATGTTAGTGTTTCCCCATATTCCCTCAGAGCATCACGGACCAATACTCAGCAAAGCCTTTCTCACTGGCATTGCCTGCAAAGCGTGGTCAAAAGAGGCAGGTCCAGCCCAGGAGCTCAAGAGCCAGTCCTTCTCTGGACCAGAGAAAGAGAGCACCCTGGGGTCCCTGCACCAGCTGTGCTACCTTGCCTTTTGCTTGAACGGTAAGACATGCCACCAGCACAACCAATCAACCCCGGGTGACTATCTGTGGTTTGTCCAAACCTCATCACTGTTACTACAGACTCCAAGGCCAGCTTGTCCACTCCCCGGGCCCCACTGGCCCTCTTTTAACTGAAGAGCCGATTCCCCGGGGGAACATTGGGCAAGACATGCCCCCTCACTTCCTCTGCTGCGCACGGGCACACAAGACGGGCAGAGAAGGCTATGCTTGTTTAACTACTATTTACAAAAAGCAACTACTATTTTCTAACGTCCCATCTTCAAGGCTTTGTCAACACACACACACACACACACATCCTTAAAATAAAAGCAGAGGTATAAGAAAACTCTTCAGGAAGAGTGAGTTTAATGTGTAATTCATTATAAAGTCACAGGTACATGAGGACATCGCCTCTTCCTCCGAGGACACATTTACTTCAAGATAGCCTGTCCATCCTCCTCACCCAGGAAGGAATACACACACACACTCCTCTGGGAACTTGTAAGTCTTCAATCACCCATCCCTGCAAAGGCACATGTTGCCCACTCCCCACATCCACAGCTGCCCACTCCAAAGCTATGGGGGTATTTGCTAGGGGCAGATGAAGCAGCGCACTGTGCTGGCTGCCACAGATCTGGACTACCCAAGTCCTTCCCACCCAGCACCCCTTACCCCGGCTGGGCTACCAGCGCTGTGTGTCCTTAAGAACCAGGGAATCTGTACTCAGGATTACCTACGTGCTGCGCTCTGCAGACTCCTAGCTCTCCTGTTATTCGCTTCTCACCCCCCATGCCACCCCCAGCCAGGCCCCATTAAAATAAGATGAAATTTTCGCAGGGAAATCTTTAATGCCAGTCATGAAGAGACATACAAAGGGAGGAGAGCGGTGCTTTCGTATCCAATGAGTTCCCCCAAGGTGCCTGTGCAGACATCCATCATCCTCCTGCCCAACGCTGGGGTCCCATCCGATGGGGAGAGCCAGAGAAGAGAAAAGGATTTTTGTTAGACTGGCTGAAGTGGGGGGCAACGGAAGTGAGGGGAGTGGGGTAAATCATGGGAGGCCGTTCCTCTCCGCCCGGAGAGCCCATTCCCAGCTGTTCCTGGGCTTGGCTGCACTGCGCTGAGTGCAGGCGAGCTGGGTGCGGAGGGACCCCTCTGGGCCGGCTCTGCTGCGGGCTGCAGCGGCTGCTGGGGCAGACGGGGCCGGAGCCCAGCGCTGGATCCAGAGCTCAGAGCCACTGGAGGGGACTCGAGGGCGCCACCTCTCGATACAGCCGCTTCCCGGGGAACCTGGCCGGGCCCGCTCTGCTGCGGGCTGCAGCGGCTGCTGGGGCAGACCGGCCGGAGCCCAGCGCTGGATCCAGAGCTCAGAGCCACGGGAGGGGACTCGAGGGCGCCACCTCTCGATACAGCCGCTTCCTGGGGAACCTGGCCGCAGAGTAGAGGTGGAGGGAGAAGTGTGCTGGAAGCACACAGGACCCATCTCCACTTGCTAGCGGAGTGTATGTAGTGCAGATCGACTCGGCCCAGGCGAGTTTATTTGCTCAGCGACTTGTGTGTGCTTGTGCATGTGTGAGGGGAATGGATGCTGAATTTCACTTCACGCTTTAAACTTTCTTGCTGCCTCTCCTGTAGCATTCCAGAGCAGCTGCCCAGGTTTGGGGGGCGGGGGGGGGCGTAATTAGTGTCACCTGGAGGCCAGACTGGGGTCGGCTTGGCCCTGTTTCCCGCCAGGGCTGGGAGAAAGTGGCCGGGAGCAGAGAGCAGAGACCCTAAGGCGGGCAGGAGTAAGGGGTCTGAGTGGCCTCCATCTCCCGGGCTCCCTTCCGAGTGACTGGAGAAGAGAAAGGGGAAGCCCTGGCTGTCCCTAGAATCTGTCAGTCTGTCCAGCGGCTCCCACCCCTAATCAGTGTCCTCACTACGAATTCAATCGCCCAACAGGAAAACTCCAAGCCAAGTACACCAGCACTACAGATCCCTCCTCTGCTCATCTTTAAGCTCCTTCACCCTCCCCTCCCCTCCGGGCTGCCCCAATCCTAGGGTCACCAATAAACAAACACACACACCATCTTCCAACAAACTCCACTAACCTGTTGGGGGCGTGGGGGAAGCTAGGTCAACCTGTTCTCTCTAAAAGTCATGGTGCTCCCCCCAACCCTCGAGTAACTATCTGTCCCTCGTTCCTGCCCCCCATGCTCCCTTGCTGCGGGGAGACAGTGGGATCCCCGGCCCGCGGCGGGTACTCACGCTGCTGTTGTGTCCTGACCAGTGCACCATGGCTTGGTTGTGGGCCGAATCCCCAGTCAGCGCGAAGGAGGTGCTGGGCAGCCTGAGCTCTTCGGCCGCCGCGCCCCCGGCCCGCAAAGCCTTCGCCTCCTCCCGGAGCCCCTTGGCCAGAGGACGGCTTCCTTTGGAACCATCGGCCCAAGCAGTGGCCCGGGAGTCCCCGCGTTCCAGGGCACTGGGGGGCTGCGCTCGGCGACTCCTCCTCGAGCCGCCAGGTTTGCTAGGAGCCGGGATGCCCTGTCCCCACCGTGCACCTGCCGGCAACAGCCCCCCGGCATCTTCCTGCTGATTTCCTCCACTACCGCCGGCTGCCTGGGGCTTCAGC